TGATACCCCGCATTTCCTATTTACATGTGATCAGCTGTGATTGGACACAGCTGATCACATGACAGAGCAAACATCATTGGCTTTTTACAGTGGTGCTCCACTGTGTCCCAGGGACACAGCGCACTGCCGATCGCTGCGCGCACGTGCAGTTAGAGTGGGAGGACGTCATATGACATCCTCCCAGAACGAGAGACCTGCCACCCTCCCGTCATTACCTTATATGGTGGGTGGGAGGCAGTTAAAATTTTTCTTGTACTTTGAACATGGGACTGACAAAAAAAAATGCCTACTGGTCTACAAAATGTATATATCATATGCCAGTCTAATCATCTTTAATGCCCAGAACACGCTACGAGATAATGAGGTTTTTACATTTCAATAATAATGCCACGTGCCCTCAACATCATCATGATTATGACAAACTGTTCAAAATTCAGCCACTAATCAACTTTTTTTGCTGCATCTTTAAGGAAATGTTTACTCCTGAAAAAAAATTTGTGTGGAAGAATGCCTAGTCCACTTCACCAGAAGGCTTGGCATTAAACAGTACATCCCTAGTAAATTGGACAAATATGCGGTAAATTTCTACAAGGTATGCCACAGGATATACCTATAACGTCAAAATTTATGAGGGAAAGAACAGCCAGCTAGACCTCCCTGGATGCTCTACCTATATGGGGTAAAGTGGCAAAATTTTTTGGCAACTTATAGAACCGCTGTTTGAGAAGGGTTACCATCTGTATGTAGATAATTTCTACACAGGTCTTCCACTATTCCACCATCTCTATCTAAAGCAAACTGTGGCCTGTGGGACAACACGGGCCAACCGCAAGGGCTTCCCACAAAGATTGGTCACCACAAAACTAGGACGGGGAAAAAGCCAGTTTGTGGAAAATTAGAGATACTAGCCCCAAAGTGGAGAGAGAAAAGAGATGTCTATAGCTTTTCCTCAATTCATTATGACACCTCAGTAGAACAAGACAAGGTCCTGTCCAGAAACCAAAATGCATACAGCATTTTAACCAGTTAATTGGGGGGGGGGGGGGATGGATGAACGACCAGATGTTACAGCCCTACTTAGCCACCAGATCAATCTATTGGTATAAAAAGGTCACCATCTACTTGTTTCATTTAGCCCTGTACAATTTGTGTCATCTTCTCTAAGTGCACACAAAGATCCCTAACCTATCTGAAATACTAAGGACATTGTTACAGCCCTTTTATATCCGCATGGCCATGCCCTTGAACAAGTTTGCTCTGATTCATTGACCAGACTCCATGAAAGGAATTTCCCCGACATCTTCCTTCTTACCCAAATAGGCTGCAAACCCCAAAGAAAATGTCATGCATGTTCCAGTAACGGAATTCAGTGTGTCACCCAATACTACTGTCCGCAATGTCCCTCCAAGCCAGGCCCATGTAGTGGAGAGTACTTCGGGATCTATTATACATCACTACACTATCTCCCTGTATGACCTGGATTGCTTATCGACAATGCCGCTGCTTGCCGCCTGAACTGACCCTGGATTATTTATTGACAATACCTCTGCATGCCGCTTGAACTATCAACCACATCTGCCTTCCAGGTGAATTGACCTCAGCCTGTTAATCCACCATGCTTTTTGCCTGCATCCTGAACTGATCTTTTGCCCTGCCACTGTATTAGTGAGAGTCAAGACAACATAGGGGTCCCACGTATGTGAGGGGCTCCAGAATAGTTTTTCCAAGTGGAGAAAAAGTTTTTGGCTTTCTCTGGGTTTTGTATTTATCATATTAGGGTGTGCAGACCAGAGGCTTTGAAGAGATTTGGGTGGGAATAAGTCTCTACCCGTTTCCAGGTCTTACCTGAGTTCCTAAGCCTGATTTTTCTGCCTGCTGCCATCTGACCCTGGTTTGTTAATTAACCATGCATCTGCCTGCCATGTGAGCTGACTACGACTCTGCCTGCTACCTGTACTGCCTGTTTATAGACCATGTTCCTGCCTACTGCCAGAACCAATACTTTGGCTATAGTGTTGTTGACCACATCTCTGCCTGTTGCCTGTACTGACTATAGACAGTACTGCCTGCTGCCTGGAGGATTCATTTCGCTGTCCAGGTCCCTACCCGCTGCGTGGACCAATGCTCCCCTCTATGGACAACTGCACTACTAAAATCACAAGTAATCTTTTGTTTACCCTTGTGCAGCAGAATGTATTTTGATGTGTAATTCTTGGTATGTACATGCTATGTATTAGAAGCCTGAAGATGCTACTTGGATGGTGGGCCTCTGTATCTGGCCAGGCTGTGGAAAAGTCTCACATGTGACATTACCATACTCAGGAGTAGCAGAATGTATTTTGGGTAATTCTTGGTATGTACAAGCTGTGTATAAAACATATCTTATAAATTGACAACTTTGTTTAAAAAAAATAAGTTTTCATTTTCTTTCCAAATTTTCCCAAAACTTGGGGAAAAAAATGACACGTTCAAAAGACTCATTATGCCTCAGAATATACACTGGGGAGTTTGCTTTCCAAAATAGGGTCATTTTGCAGGTAATTCCATTGTCCTGGTGCTCCAGGGCCTTCAAAATATATGATACGTAGTCAGGAAATTAGATATGTAATTTATGCCTCTAGAATGCCTGTAGGTGCTACTTGCATGTTGGGCCTCTGTACGTGGCCAGGCTCTTAAAAAGTCTCAAACATGTGGTATCGCCATACTCGGGAGGAGTAGCAGAATGTATTTTGGGGTGTAATTGCAAGCATGCTTATGCCGTGTGTGAAAAATAACTTAATATGACAATTTTGTGTGAATAAAATTATTTGTTCATTTTCACAATTGTGGGGAAAAAATTACAACTTTACAACAAAAAACTCGTCATGCCTCTTACTAAATACCTTGGACTGTCTCCTTTCCAGAAATGGGTCATTTGGGGGTATTTGTACTGTCCTGACATTTTAGGGCCTCAAGAAATGAGACAGGCAGTTAGTACATCAGAATTGATCCATTTTCAATGATACGTAGCATAGATTGTAGACACTATGGCCCTGATTTACTAAAGTGCATAGACAGCATCTAGGTCCATGCCCGTAGACTAAAGTCTACTTTTCATTGGAATCTGTCTACTTTTAGACAGCAAAGACATTTACTAAAGAAAGCATCTAACAAATAGACGCAAAAGCAAATTTACTAATGGACACAATAAAGGAATCCATCTAAAAAAGCAGACGTCCTAGAAGTACGTCTAAAGGAATGAAAAATCACTGTAGAAACATGTTCACATTGAAATTTGCTTCCCAAATATCTGGACTTAACTTTAAAGAATACATTCCTTTTAAAAAAAAATTTCAGTGGGTAAAAAATTTTTTTTTTTTTTTTTTAGGAAATTCCTGATAGTCAAGAAATAGACTATCATGCATTTCTTTTAGACTGTGTCTTATAGTAAATCTCTGTGTGGAGTCCTCAGGAAGACTGCAATCGTGAATGTCAACTGAGTTTTAGAAACAGCACTATTTTTAGCTAGGCATATCTTTATGTATTCTAATTTGTTTTCCTTAGTTCTATTGATTATATTTTTGTTTTTTATCTTTTATGATTTTCTGTAATGGATTTACATGACATTTATTCATATTTCTGTATATTTTGCTCAAAATGTTGTGAATTTGATATATCATATTTCAAAGACCTAGATAATAAATCAGGCTGCTCCAACCCTAAGCAAGAGCATATAGCACCAATAAGGGAAGCGATGGTACCCGTAAGCTTGGATTAAATTTCTGTTACAGGTATGTCACTGATCTGATGCCTCAGAATGAGTGGAATCATCCTCAACTGCCACTTCTTACTCAGGCAATATGTCTGGCATAAAGGCAAAATCAAAGACTGATTTAGGAGGGGATGTCAAAGGGGCACAGCTGTAACCCCTGCTGTCTATGGCCTCTATAAGGCCAGAAATTCAGCCCATGAATTCTGACACTTTGTCAGAAAATTCTTCTCTAGATACAGAGGAGGAAGCAGGTGTGGCAGACAGTCCAACAGAATGGCCAGAGGAAGGCAGAGAGTTAAAGTGAAAGTAACCATGTGAGGAGAGTGTACTTGGTCCCTGAATGGACAAATTACCACCCTTAATGTAGTTAACAGCAGGACCTGAGCTGTCAAGTCCATCTGACCCTTTTTCCCTGTGCTTAAGATCTGTCATGCTTGTAATATTGTCCCCAAATGAGTACTCATGACCTCTGCAGCAGTTGTAAAGGAGGGAAATGTCTGTGCAATAAGAGCATCCATAATGTGCTCACAGAAGGGAGAGAGAACCAGGAGAAGCTGCTAGTCTAAAGTCCTGCCTGCATACAGGAAAGATAGGGCATGCAGCTGCAATAACCCCCCCCCCCCCTTGATAAAGAAGACATGCAGACATATCAGGCATCGTTTGGGGGACTTGTGCAGGTGCAGTAGTACTGGGATAGACATGACAGTGCCAAGTTTCAAATTAACCCTGGCACTCCTAGTTCTCTGCCACGACCACTGAAAGGGTGGTTGGTGGCTCCAATGCACCACAACACCCAACCCCCCCACCCCATTAACAGGCGCATCGGTTCACATCGGTCCAGGACGCATATGTAAACGGCGATCACACCATAATGCCAGGTACCGCTGCAAACATGAGAGCGAGAGCAATAATTCTAGCACCAGATGTCCTGTGTAACTCTAAACTGGTAACCTGTAAAAGCTTTTAAAACGTTGCCTATGGAGACTTTTAAATACCGCAGTTTGTCGCCAATCCACGGATGTGTGCAATTTTGAAGCGTGACAGGTACCGTATTTTTCGCTCCATAAGACGCACCTGACCATAAGACGCACCTAGGTTTTAGAGGCAGAAAACAGGAAAAAAAAATTCTGAACTAATGGACTGCAGACATAGTACAGGAGATGACCAGAGACTGCGGACACAGTACAGGAGATGACCAGAGACTGCGGACACAGTACAGGAGATGACCAGAGACTGCAGACATAGTACAGGAGATGACCAGAGACTGCAGACATAGTACAGGAGATGACCAGAGACTACAGACAAACTAGAGGAGGACAGTCAGAGACTGCGGACACAGTACAGGAGATGACCAGAGACTGCGGACACAGTACAGGAGACATGACCAGAGACTGCGGACACAGTACAGGAGATGACCAGAGACTGCGGACACAGTACAGGGGATGACCAGAGACTGCGGACACAGTACAGGGATGACCAGAGACTGCGGACACAGTACAGGGATGACCAGAGACTGCGGACACTGCAGGAGATGACCTGAGACTGCGGACAGTACAGGAGATGACCTGAGACTGCGGACAGTACAGGAGATGACCTGAGACTGCGGACAGTACAGGGGATGACCAGAGACTGCGGAGAGTACAGGGGATGACCAGAGACTGCGGAGAGTACAGGGGATGACCAGAGACTGCGGACAGCACAGGGATGACCAGAGACTGCGGACAGTACAGGGATGACCAGAGACTGTGGATAGTACAGGGGATGACCAGAGACTGCGGACAGCACAGGGATGACCAGAGACTGCGGACAGTACAGGAGATGACCAGAGACTGCGGAGAGTACAGGGGATGACCAGAGACTGTGGACAGCACAGGGATGACCAGAGACTGCGGACAGTACAGGGATGACCAGAGACTGTGGATAGTACAGGGGATGACTGCTGACCTTTGGGGAGGGGGGGGAGCGGGTACCTGAATTTGACAGGTACCCGCTCCCACTTCCGCGGAGTTGTTCTTTCATCTTACCTGTTCCTCTATCCAGCCGCGCGCTGTCTTCCCGGCTTCTGTAATGGCGCTCGGCATGACAGCCGGGTGCCCAGTGCGCATGAGCAAGAAGCACTTGCGCTTTGTGATTGGTCCGGCGGCTTCTGGGATCTGTCATGTGTCCCAGGTGCCGCCTTCCCATTCACAAAAAGCACCGCTTCTTGCGCATGCGCACTTGGCACCCAGCTGTCATGCCCACACTACAGAAGCCGGGAAGACCGCGCCGCTGGATAGAGGAACGGGTAAGATGAAAGAACAACTCCACGGAAGTGGGAGCGGGTATCTGTCAAATTCAGGTACCCGCTCCCCCCTCCTCCCCAAAGGTCAGCAGTCATCTCTATAAGGTCCCGCTGTAGAGCTGAGCGGCCGGCCCGGTATTCTGACACGGCGGCAGTGGAAATACCGGACCGGCCGCTCCATATTCGCTCCATAAGACGCACTGACATTTCCCCCCCTTTTTTTGGGGGAAAAAAGTGCGTCTTATGGAGCGAAAAAATACGGTATCTATTTACTCAGTGTAACATCATCTTTTATATTTGACCAAACAATAGGGTATTATATTGTGGTTGTGTGCACTAAAATTAATTAAAGTGCATTTTTTTTAAATTGCGCTTGAAAAACCGCTGCACAACATTTTTTTCTCCTGGGCCTTTGCTTTCAGAAAATATATAATATTTTGTAGTTCAAAGCAATTATCTAGTAAAAAAATAAATATTCATCACCGCTGAACATTCCTACATATTTTAGATTAACAAAATCAAATTAAAATGGATTAATTTGGGATATTTATGTCCTTGACCTTCATAATACAGTCCTTATTGTTGAAATGGAAACATCTACATCATTTTCCAAATAACCTACAAATAAACTGAAAAAATCTTGATTACATAAGTATTGATCCCCAAGTTAAAAACTCTTAAGCTCTAGTGCAACCATTTGCTTCAGAAATCATATAATAATTTTATTGACCACCTCTTTGCAAGTAACCTGTCAGATGATTTTATGATGAATACACTGGTTTCTGAAGCTGTCTTTGTTAGAGAACATACAGTGATTTACATAAGTATTTGTTTCCTTTGCTTCTTCCAAATTTAGAAGCGTTTCTGTCTGGATTTTAAATGGAACTAATTGCAATTGTACCACTTCATTTACATAACATGCTGCCTCCTCAGCAAAGTATACCAAACAGCCAAATGTCAGACCTGATAAGACTTTCCGACACTAAAGAACAGGGTACTCCTGTAGGGAGGAAAAGGCTGGATGGACAGAGATCATGGAACAGTAAATATATGTTTATGGGAGAAGGGGGTAAAATTATAGAGCTCTCCCGCATAAGAAATGGTGAACTGTAATATATTACATTTTGTTCTTGGGTTTAAATACGCTTCAAAGTCAGATGTCACCAATGGACAGGTATACCACTGCTTTATAAAGAGTACAACATGTGTGAAACTGGCAAATTGTGAAATTTATTTGTATATGTCAGGTATTTAGTAGCTCCAAAAAAAGAATTTCAACCTACAGTAAGTACAAGACATCCATCTTTCTCTCTGGATACTTCTTTATTTAGGGTAAACTAGTTCCTAAGCAACTTTTAAAACTAGACTGATGTGACATTTAAATTCCAGAGTAATAGAATTAAAGTGATAGGGTAGAACACTGTTCAAACAACACTGAAATGTTTAGACACCATGGTGTGGAAACCTTGCTGCAAAACCCCACCGAATTATTAGTGGGATTATGATACTAATCATCTAGATGTTTTAGTCAGCAAATCAATAAAAGAGTAAATAGATGTGTATGCTTTTTACCAACACTTTAATAATAATGGATCTGAGTCGATAAGAATTATGATGAACCTATTATATGTGTTCTGAAGGTATTTTTATCCAATTAATTTATATAAAACAATAAAAAAGCTTTGGGAATTAAAGAGCCACCGATTGTTCACCAGTTCAGAGCAAAGCAACATCCTGGCAGCCCTCCACTACCATCCCTGCACTCCTTTGCTGCCTACCTGCTATGTTGGTCTAATGTTTTCAGCAATGGGGGAGCATGCAATCTCCCCCTTTGACAGTGCTTCGGCCTGAGCAGCCAAACGCCAGGCACAAACACTGTCAGGTAGATGGAGTAGTTATATCATCCACCTGGGAAACCACTGATGCCAGAGCTTACACATTTTAAACTCCTGCACTGAAGAGGTGGCAAGGGAGTGTGGATTGGTGAGCTTATCTTGCTGCGGGAGGGAGTGGGCTAGGAGGTACTGTCAATCTGCCCTAAACAGAAAGGTAACAGGGTCTCTTTGAAAGGATTATTATTCAAACTTTATGCCAAACTGCCCCCCCCCCCCCCCCCCACCCCCACCCACATGCAATCTACAGTCCTCACTTCAGGCCTCAGGACAACAGATTACTTTATCCAAGGGTCAGGCATAGCTTTCATCCTCTACTGAGAAAAATGGGAGGAAGTTGGGCTCAAGTAACATATAAGTGTAGTCATTCTTTAGTATAACCTTCTTAAAACCTATCTTTTTACAGCAAGAATTGCATCTAATAAGTTGCCAGTGTTCTTAATTTGTACTCTATTAAATCCATGACTTTCTAGAAGTTGCTTGTATTCTGTGCCACTTCGCTGCTTTCCTCCACTCATGCTCAAAGACTGTAATAGTGCTCTTGGCTCCCTCTTTTCTTCATCCAGGACAATTTCAGCAATAAGCAGAGCACTGTTCCCTAAAGAGAAAAAAAAATGAATACACAACAAAATGGTTTAAAATTTAAAACATTTTCTCAGGTATTTATATTTTACCTGGGCTACAAGCTTCTGACACCTTCCTCAAAAGATGGTGTAATTTGTCTTCCAGTAGATCATGCAAGACTCTAGATAAGATGTACAGATCAGCCTTTGGAAGAGCATCATCTAGAAAGTTACCTATAAGCAAAAGACACAGGTATAATATGTACACAAATACTAGAAGCTAACAAGATCATTTACCCAGTACTCATGGAGAGTTGGGGGTGGGTCACTCAGTGGTACACCTGCACCCAGACTATTTACAGATTCTTAAAGTGGTAAAAGAGCTTTAATTAAAACAAGACCTTATGCACCTTGCTAGCTTGCTACTTGTAATCTGCATTAATTGTTTCTTAAAGGGTAACAACATTTTGGAAAAAATGAAAAGGTGAATTTACAAACCCCCCCCCCCCCCCCCCCCTTATGTGATCCCCATCCTCTGATGCCCTCTCCAGTCAGTATAATGGTCTGGACCTTTAAAGCTCCACTGAAAAACATTGGGAGGCTGTATATATTTCTCAAAATCACAAGTGCTCAGTAGTCAGCACTGACCACATGACCAGGACGATCAGAAAGAATGTCTTCTTTGTTCTGGGTTGTCATCCCGGAAAAAAGAAGCCTCAAAAGTATTCTCACTGGTCACTGCAGTCATGTGGCCAGCGCTGATTAATGAGCCCTTATCACTGATCGAGTGTCTGGCACTGTGTAGTTTTAAAATTCTGTATCATACCAGCTGGAGATGGTGGCAGAAGATGGAGATCACATAAGGTATGTGCACTAAGAACTGGAAGGGTACGGAGGGTATTGTTTGCTAGTTAACCTTTTCATTATTTGTGAACAGGTGAACTAGCTTTAAACTCCCTGTAAATATCACAGCAAAGACTCTAAAGTTGGGTTTTAGTCAGTTTCTTACAGCTTAGAACACACCTGCTGCTTGCTTGCATTAGATGGTTGGCAGGCTGTCAAAATCAGCTCTTAGGCTGCAATCACACTACAGTAGTGTGTGAAATGTGCTTGATTTTGCGCATGTTCACAAAATGTGCAAAAACAGGATTTCATGCTTGTAGTGCCATTCAATGTTAATGGGACTCCAAACATGGCATGCAAGAAGAAAAAAAAATAAACATGCACAGCTCAAAAAGATACCTGAACTTCTTTGCCACATTTGTCGCATGTAGGCCAGCCCACTAAAATTAATATGTGCTAAGTGTGACAACACACTACATAACATGAATAGGGGCTTAAAAAAAAGCTGAGATTCCTTTGCTATATTGTGAAATTTTGAAAACACATTTCTCCACAATGCTTATAGCTACAGAGGTGAATAATGACTTAAAGCGCTTTTACAGGTTGTTCAAACAGTAAATACTTTAGTGTGAATAGTCTAGACAAAGGTTCCTTTTTATGTCAGCACACAAAGCCGAATTTCATATTAATTTTTGGAGTTACTCTGATGAAAGTCAGTGCAGCATTTAACACCTATAGTGCTGGGATCCAAGTCACAATGCAGGATTAAAGTGTTCCTTTAGTCAAAATGCATTTTTGTACCTAATTTTGCTAAGTGCTGGGAAGCTGTTTGTAACCAAATTGTAGCTTTATACTATACATTCACTGCAGTTCCCTTAAAGGGTAACACCACTTTTGTGAAAAAAAAAAAAAAAGTGCAAATAAAAAAATAAATACTATGGTGTATACAATTGCAACACGTCATATTGTAATTGAATGTTATTAAAAATTACCTTTCCTTTTCAATCTGCAGCGCTGTAATTTTCTGTAAACTGCAATGCAATGCAATATGGCTACCTGGAGATGGTGTACAAAACACCCCTCAGATATAGGCATGGCAAAAAATATTGGCATTCCTGCATTTCTGTCAGATGATGCATCACTTCACCCAGAAAAATTGTAAAAATGTTTAGGCATTCTCATGTTTATTTTGTTTGTGTTGGTATGACACAAAAAAGTGGAAAAACAATAAGCCAAGTCTGATGCATTCCACGCAAAACCCTAAAAATGGACTGGCCAAAATATTGGCACCTTCTCAAAGATGTAAGAAATAATTGCATTCCAAGTTTGTGATGCTCCTGTAATTTGTAAGTAAACTCACCTGTATCACATAACAGATGCTGAGGGGGCGTGGCTAGGCGCATGGAGCGAGAGGCAGCACCTCTGCTTAGCTCTCGGCTCGGACCTCCTATACAGGCTTCCATCCCTCTCACAGGTTGCCTTACGCCCTCCACATGGGCAAGAATCAGCACCGGATCCCCCCCGGAAAACAATGGGGGGGGGGCGGTCCGGCAGTGATCTACACCGGCTTCTAACCCGCCTAGGGCGCCCCGGCCTGCAAGATGGCACCAGCACCTCTGTCCTTCTCATTTCCCCTCGGGACACAGGGCTCCATGAAGATGGTCAGGTAAGCCCTCGGGGCTCCCTCTCTCCACCTGGGGATTCTGCCATCAGCCTACAGGGCACAGAGGTATCGCAGCCCTTCCCCAGCATCTCTCTGCTCTGAGGATGACTGGGACCTGCAGTCCCACATGCGGTCCCTGCACAACTATATTAAATCTCTCCCTACAAAGCCGGATTTTGAACTTTGTATGTATTTTCAATATGTTTCACACAGACAAGAAATCTCTGATCTTCAATAAGATATTTGTGTGTGTATGGAAGAGATTGAAAATACCACCGACGGCCTGTGCAACGCCTTAAAATCCCATGAAGAGACCCTTAACTCCCATACGGTCTTAATACAACAACTCATGTATCAACAAGTAGACACTGAGAACAGGAACCGCCATAATAATATACGGATTAGGGGCATACCAAAATCCATTGAATCTAAAGATTTAGCCGTAGCGGTTACCGCCATATTCAATCAACTGTTACAGCAACCTAAAGACACCTATATTGAGTTGGACCGCGCACATCGCACAAATGCCTCCAGAAACCCTGATCCATCTTTTGTTCGTGATACCCTATGCAGGGTCCACTACTTCAAGGTCAAGGATGCCATTATATGTGATAGTCACAAAGACTATCCAAGACTTTGTTTTTGATCATTCATTGGACACCATAGGCCCCCTTACTCAATGGAAGACCATTAAATGTGTTCTTAGAGGGGTTCTTATTAAACATGACTCTTGCTTGAACGGCCGAAATGCGTCGCCTGTTTTCGCTCATTGCATGTCTAGAATCCTCCCACAAATGCACATTGGACCCGGGGCTTGCGGTAGACTTATCGCCAACTTTTAGATTCTTCCCCCTCATTGCACAAGACAAAGCACGCAACACTCATTACTCCCTTGTTAATAAATGTGGCCAAAACCTGGCGCATGTACTCCATCCTCGACCGTCCCGTCACCCAATCCAGTATATTAAGGCGCCTGGCAATGCCAAACTCTACCACAACAAAAGAATCTCTTCTGCGTTTGAGCGATATTATTCTCAACTTTATAATTTGTCTTCGGCAAAACCTGATGCTCCTTCTGTTTCCTCTCTTCCGGCTATGTCCCAATACATTGCTGAGATGGCGTTGCCAGTTCTAGATGCCCAGGACGCATTGGATCTGGAGGAGCCCTTCTCGATTATGGAAGTTCTTGGGGCAATTAAGGCCCTGAAAACTGGTAAGTGCCCAGGCCCAGACGGGTTTACTCCAAGATTTTACTAAACATTCGCCGCCCAACTGGCCCTGCTTCTAGCCCAAGCTTTTTAGGTTATCGACGATTTGAACGTGCCCTCGCCAGCCTTCTTGTCTGCTAATATTTTAGCCATCCCTAAGCCAGGTAAAGACCCTTCTCTTTGCGGTAGCTACCGCCCAATCTTTCTACTTAATCTAGATGTTAAGCTTTTTGCTAAAGCTCTAGCGAACCGCCTTTCACCTTTCCTACCAACTTTGATCCGCCATGATCAGGTTGGCTTTGTTCCTGGTCAAGAAGCTAGGGATAATACTTCTAAAACAATCCATCTTATCTCTTACATCAAGCAACATGGCCTAAAGGCTTGTCTCCTCTCATTTGATGCTGAGAAGGCATTTGATCACTTTGACTGGTGCTTTTTACGTCTTACCCTAGAACAGAGAGGTCTAGGTTCGCGGTTCCTCGCTCAGATTATGTCCCTCAAGTCTCATCCTTCAGCGTCCGTCCTGGTAAATGGTATGGTTTCTTCGCCCTTCCCCATATTTAACGGGACTAGACAAGGTTGTCCCCTCTCGCTTCTCTTTGTTTTAGTAATGGAACATCTTGTGAGAGCCATACAAGCTAATGACTCAATCTTGGGTATCCACACATCTTCCTCACATCAAAAATTATCGCACCCTGAAAACCCATCTCTTCAGGGAAGCCTACCCCGCCCTCACCTAACAGCCGATCTCCTCAACTCCTCCTACCACTCCATCCCCCCCAGCCATTTCCTCCTGTACCACTATCCCCTCCCTCCTAGATTGTATGCTCCAAGGAGCAGGGCCCTTGACCCCCTCGTGTATTGTATTGTTACTGTATTGTCTCATGTACTGTCCCCCACTATAATGTACAGCGCTGAGCAAACTTTTTGGCGCTATATAAATACTGTATAATAATAGTAATATACGCAGATGACCTTCTAGTTTACGTTCAACATCCACTTATCTCACTTCCTAATCTATTCCACGAATTCCGCAGATTTGGTTTATTCAGTAACTTCAAACCTAATATTTCTAAAACAGAGGCTTTGAATATCTCTTTGCCTGACCATGTGTTGGCGCATCTAAGCTCTAATTTCTCTTTTCAATGGTGACCAAAGGTTATTACGTATCTAGAGGTCATGATTCCTGACGATCTTATTTAATGCTCTGTATTCCCTTAATTACTTACCCCTACTCTCACATGTCCGAAAAAACCTGGCTTCATGGGGCACTTCAGCTTTGCACTGGTTTGGATGCATCAACACCCTCAAGATGGATACCTTAACTAAGTTACTATACGTTTTCCAGACTGTACTGATCTCTGTGCCTAGGAGTTTTTTTTTTTTTTATCTCTGTATGCTCTCTCTCTTGATCAGATTTATTTGGCACTGAGGGTTCTCAAGGTTAAAATATAGGTTACTTACTTATCCGAATCTCGGGGGTGGAGTGGGTTTGCCCGACTTTGAGTTATACTATAGAG